ATATATATATATATATATATATATATATATATATATATACATATATTTCTTCACTTCAAAAATAAATTTATAACCTTTTCCAAGAAATAATGATGTCAAGAGTCATGCCCTTCATGAGACAGAACAAGAGTAGTTCGACATATCAACTACCTTCATAAATTCTATCAAGCCAAGGAGTGGCTAGAAATGCCCCACGCGTTTTATGAAGTGCAAGGTTTTATCGTCAAGCCATCAAATTACAGGCTGCGCAGTACCCACAATGTGCATGATGAAAAAATAATAATAATAAATAAAAAGAACATTTACGATAGATAAGTAAACAAATAAATAAAGGGGAACACTTGAAGGGAAGAATACAACTAACTCAACTTAGATACCCAAGGGCAAATTTTCTATATTACGAAAATAATTTCGAGAAACGGCCCCAAAAATGGTATGTATTTGATCTAACATCTATAAGGGCTTCCATGAAATAAATTATATAATCTGCAACAAAAAAAATTGATATGTTGGCAGCCTAGAGATAAGTTACAACTCTCGAACGACTCTACAATGACTCTTCCTACTCTGCATTCTGCAGAAGAGGCTGCAATGTATATTTATATACAAGTCTAGCAGATTATGACCATATCCTGTGCAGATTCTGAGGAACTCTAAAGATTCTTTCATGCATGTACAGAAAGATGGAACCAAAACCACCTCTTCTAAACAAAGGCAGGACCCACGCCAAAAAGTGGGTTGCATCTAAACATTCAATGAGTGAATTATAAGTAACAATGATGATTGATGCTAGTTGGTGAAGAATAACCAACCAAAGAGGCCTGCGGATAGACAGAAGTATGCCAGCCTTCATTAGTTGGTAATTTCTGTCACCTTGGCTGCCAAAAGCCTGGGCCTGAAACATAATTCTTAAACCTCAATTAATGTTTTCAAGAAATATCCCGGAATCCAAAGAAAAAAGTAAATCAAAAAATAATGTCTCGTGATTGATGGAAATCTGACAAACAGAGAGGGTACACACCTCGGTTTGCTACTGGAATTGCATCTTCAAAGTGTGGTCTGAAAGGCATGGAGTCCCCGTAATCCATTGACGGGGGAGGACATCTCCATCCATGACCTGGTAATCTAGCTGATTCACTTGGATGACAACCATAAGGAGCAGTCACACCTCTATCATGATACTGAGGACCTGAAAGCAGAAATCCCAAGAAAGATAATTAATACATACACAACCAAATCAAACCACAGCATGGCTTCCCACCCTTCACCTCAAACATCACAAGCATCATCAGTCTTACCAGAATAAGAAGCAGGAATATTCCATCTCTCTTGGTAATCATATGAAGGTGGTCTTAATCTCTCATGATTGTCAAAACCATACTCTCTCATCATGTTCGGCACAAAGTGGTGCCCATTGGAATACAGAGGTGGGGGAACCTCCCTTTGAGATCTCATACGATGTTCCCCATGAACAAAAGAAAACTGATCGGATGGCACATGGAGAGGTGGTGGTATAGAGTAACCTCTATTATGCATAGTAACACCATCAGCGTTCCTGATATTGTCTGTTGATTGTGCAGGCAAAGTGTTGAAAGAGCTAGTAGACTCAGGCATCTGCATCGGCATGTCTCTACATTCCTGGACTGGGTACTGCACTGCATCACTGATAGGCTGACTATTTCTTGGTACAGCAAAGGGCTGAGCGATAGGATGGTGTACATTGGCTTTCACGGTCTGCAAAAATGAAAAGCCCAAGTAGAAAGGAATGGCTTATAACATTAGTTGTCACATGCTGCAGCTTATTCCAGAGTGTAAAAATCCCAAGCAAAAGTTGTGAAACCTACCGGTGAATCTTCAAAAACTTTTGAATCAACTGCAACATGATATTGATCAGGGGTAGCTGACAAAAGGTGCGATGTAGGGGGTAGTGGAGGTAGAGGAAGAGGAGGAGGAGGAGGAGGAGGAGGAGGTGGAGGTGGTGGAGGGTATGATGGTGGAGGTGGGGAAGATGGTGGCACATCCTGTGGAAAAGGAGGAGCAAAGGACACAGGAAGATTCTTCTCAAACTGTGTGGCATTTCCTCTGTCAACATTACAAATCGAATTCAATTCAACATCAACACAGGGAGCCACATCTTCCATTTCAAGCTCACCATCAACATCTTCCAACACATGCCTGTGTTTCTCAATAGCATGAGCAGTTTCTTGCAATTCACAAGTTTCAGAATCATGCTCAGGCGTGACAGCCTCAAAGTCCCCTCCATCAGAATCACTCCCTCCGTCTTCAAGCATTCGAGGCATGCAAAACCCAGGTAGCTGAAAACTTGAGTTGCTGCAAGACCAAATGTAACTTGAGTAAACAGACTTACAGAGGTACAAGAAAGAATCATATAGTCAAAATATCTAATGTCAACAATCTCACACCTTCCATATTCATCAACAAGCATACCCTCCATGTCTCTAACAGGGTCATCAAAAGGCCTCTCAGTTCTTAATGAACGTCGGGAGCAGAAACCTGCAGAAGCTGAACTGCTATATGAGTCTAGTTCCCGGATATGATGCCGAATAACGCGTTCAGGAAGAATTCTTCTCTCCAGCCACAGCCTTAATACCTACATAATTGGGAGGAAAGCTTAACAAGAATAACAACTCCAAAAAATGGATCTAAGACTTGAGAGCATATATGTTTAACTTCAGTAAACAGGAAATTTATTAACTTGCCTTAAGACATTGCCTACGATTTTCTTTTGCAGCATTTCCAGGAGGAGCAGCAGCAGACAGTAGGCGTGGCAGGACTGCGTTCATAGCAGATGGATATACTCCACCAATGTCTCCTGAAAAATTGCATATGTTCAACATCAACATGTACTAGATGCATATATTCTGATATGTTTGTAACATCAACAGATACACATGCACCTATTATTTTGTTTCTTGCAAGATTCAACAATCACCAAGTGATAAACAATTACCTTTCAACCCTCGAGAACATTGAGCAATAGAGTCAACAAGAAAAAACAGATCTACCCTCCGATGCAGGCTTGACTCAATTTCCAGATTGTGGATAAGAACTTCTACCACCTAGAATACACCGCCAGGTCCGCCACAGCAAAGCCACCCAAAAATGCATATATCATTAAGAAAATACATGATAAGCCTTTATAAGGAGTGTACAATGATTTTCTATAGGAAATAATTGTAAAGCAAATTAAATAGATTTAATTCCCATGAAGGTGCAGAAGATTTAAATCAAAACACAGAGGTGCAAAGTTAGTAATACTTGGACAAACAAATTAAGTTCCTCTGCAATCCTGGGAAGCCCAAAAGAAAAAATACGAAAAGCAAAAAATATAATAGACTGGCCCAAAAGAAACCACCATATAATTTCAAAACAACAAGCAAGATATTCTTTAATAATTTAGGGAAACAAAAGGTATTCAGGCTAAGAATTCTACAACAGGCACAAGACAATCTTCAAGATCCAAGCAGGCTTAAAGAACTTGACTCCAAATTGTTGGTCATGACAAGACCAAATGTTTCCTCCTAAAGGAATCCACATCCTATCAATAATTCCCTATCAGCCTTCTAAAACATCCCAAGCATATAAAACATAAAGAAGAGCAAAGAAAATCAAGACCATCTTGAAGAACAAGGGAAATGACATCAAATTAAAGTTATTTCCTCATTCCAATAAATTTTTCAACCATAAGCAGAAGAATCGGAACAATGTGATTACCAAAATCAAAAGGTATAACTTTTATATAGAAAATGCCAGATTTTTTTTTTATTGTTTTACTTCACAGATATTCTGCAATTGTCTTTTACTTGGTAAAAATAATAATAAACCTGATGAATTTAGATTGCTCAAACTCACTGTCCAGTTAACAACATAAGTAGTCAAGTAGATAAGGTGCCCATGCACCAAGATACCATGGATCAATTTAAATTAAGTCGAAATAAAGAAAGCTAACAGACTTGAAAAGTAAAACTACGAGGTCTCAAAAAGCATAAATTGGGTATATCCCTTGACTATAAAAGCTAGCAGAATCTAATTCCCTTAATTTATTGCACAAAAATCATACTGGTCCAAAAAAAACCTAGAAGAGGCTTTTGTCATGTCATATGTAAAACTAGTTTAACATAAAAGAATCCACCAGTCAATGATTAATCGCTTCCTATAGACAAAAGGAAGAAAATCAAAATACAAAAAGTACCATTGCATTACCTTAGTTGCAATGCCAAACTTTGCACAGTCAATAGCTATTCGTGTTGCTCGACGAATACTTTCCTTTGTCCTTTTCAATGTCCCAAGCATTGCTTCAAAGTACAACAGAGCAGCATCTCCTGCTTCAGTTGACCCCACACATCTTGATTGTTCATTTGCCACAATCCCGTCTTTCCATCCACCAGTAGGGCCAGATAAAGTGTTCTTCTGGTGTACATCAGGGCTACAACTTCCATTTTGAAGTATATTACTACTGTCTGACGTGGAAATATTACAAACTGAAGTTGTATTTGGAGGTGAACCTAGAGGAAGGGAAACCCTCCCGTCAGTCAAGGATGGGCTTGACAGAATGCCTAAATTACCCTTTTCACCTGAATAATCATTTGATATTGAAACAGAATGCATATCCTCCTCTAGACCTTTAAACTTTACCTCTTTCACAGCTTCAAGCCTGAAAAGAAAGAATAGCATGAGCTTTCATTAAACAATTGTTCTCTTTCCATTTACATTATCATCAACAGATTAATTAAAATATGTTTATCACATACAACACCACCAAACTGAACCCTGGTAATTGAATTTGATAAACCCCAATAAAAAAGGTGTATAGCAGAAGGGGTGACAAACTTCACCAAGTGGGCAATTAGTGGATATGGATAGAAGAACCTGAGAGTTGACACCAACAAACGGAGAGGGGATGGTGGAAGATTCAGAATGTGTGGAAAATGATGAGGAAAAAGGATAGAGGGGTAACATGACGCATGAAAATCATTTGGTTTATACTGGATACCTGAGAGCTAAGAATTCTTTACGAGAGGAGAGAGCACTATTTTTTTTTTGTTTATTTTTTTGTGTAAGGAGGTCCCATTGATGTTCTTAGTTTCAGTGCTGCCAGGAGGTGTTTACCTCCATTCCATATTTTTGTTTTTCTTAAACAGCAGCATCTGTACCTATGAGAGTTTAGGTTGAAAAACAACTATTTGAACATAGTTGTCAGCATAAGTTCATCCTGTCAAATTTTGTAATGAACAATATTAAGCATAACGGAGAATGAAAAGCATGAATTTGTGAAGCCTACAACCTCTTGCACATTTGATGAGCAATTTATGAAACCCAAAAATCTCAGATTTCAGAATAGGCTGAAGACAGCTTATTTAGTGTTTAACTCATGAGCTAAAAATTTAGCTCCACAAAAGCTTTTTTCTTTAAAGAAAATAAAATAAAATAAAAAATTCACAAATGAATAAATAAATAGGCAGTGGAAATGTTTTAATGTTTTCATTATCTTTTCTTTTTCTCCTCATGGATATGAGTGATCGGAATCTAGTAATTGTAGCAAGCTAAAACAGAATCTTACATGTTATTAATTTTGCTGCTTTCACCAACAGCTTGCTTCATATCCTCACAAACAACCACCACATTCTGAGGCACATTAATACTATTTTGAGGTAACAATTTATCACTTTCACTGGAACCTGCCACAGGATCAAGACTTATTCCACCATGCTCCAATGTATCAGATGCATCAGAATGGTTCACAGGTCTGACATTGTCATCACCATTTGGTAACAAAGATGGACCTGGTGAATCTTGATTGCTTCCAACATGACTATATTTCAAATCGAGATTAGGAGAAATTTTTTCATGTGATTGAATTTGTGAATCTATTTTGGCAGGATGACAAACAACAGAATCACTAAGATCTTCAGCAACTTGTTGTCTAGCACCTGGGATGTCATCCTTCCCAGTTTCGTGTTGTTGGAACTTGGCCAACTGCTTATCCACTTCTGTAGATGACTCATTCTCCATGGAAATAATTGTATTTGAACGAGTTGAGAAACTACACACACTAACATGAGAAGAATCAATGCCACAAGAATCAAACACTTGTTGTCCTAAATCATTACCTCCTTGATTATTAATGGTTATACTAGCACATCTCTTGATAGTAGATATACAGCATCTTCCACTCGATGTCATTACAGAGGATGTCTCCATGCAAGCTTGGCCTTCTTTAGCAGCATTGGCAGACATAGCTTCTAAAGCACGGTGGATGCGTTTAGATGGAGGTAAAGCAGCTTCATCATCCACAGAGCAGCCAAACACTTGGTCTTTCTTAATTTTACAAATCTGAGATTGATTTTCAGAACTTGGTGGAGCTATTAAGTTTGAAGGAGAAACATTTACCAAAGCTTCATTCAACACTGATGAGCCTCCTTCAGCAAGGCTACCATTTTCACAATTTGAGGATGTGATTATCTGCTGGGGTGAGTCAGTAATATCTTCCTTACCATTTTTCACCTCAACTTGTACAACGCTATTGATTTCTGTCTCTGCAGATGATTTACCCATTCTAACTCTGGCTCGTTTCAAAAGGGGCAAGTGCTCATCTCCATCTGGGTCAGGGCATCTCTCTTTTGAATTTCCACCCATATTCTGCAAACCTTGACTGGCATTCTGAGAAGCAGCATCATTAGTTTCCTTCTTCCTGTTTAGTTTTCTTTTCTTCTTGTTGATAACAGCCTTTATTTCAAGATCAAGGCCTTTGTTCAAATCATCTTTCCCGTCAGGACACTCAATAGGCTCAGACTGTTCAAGTTTTAAATTAGAATCTATTGGACATCCCTCATTTAAGCTAACAGCATCAGAATTGATTGTAATGATTTCAGAATCATTGTCCCCCATGCTAACATTTGAGGCAAATGCAGGTGAATCAGTATCATCACAACCTAAAAGGTCAGGTGATTTCCTGATACGTTTACTCCTTCTTATAGACATATTCTGAATTGCATCAGCTGGTATGTTGCCATCACTGTTGCCACCATTATTTCCCTGAGTTATAGAAAAATGTGACTTTACAGTTGAAGTCACAATACCATTATCAATGGGTTCCTCCAATGATGCCTCTATGTTATAAGATTCATCCCTCAATGCAACAGCTGAGTCATCCTCAGCTGCACATAGCTCAGGTCGGTCAACTGCACAATTTGAAGATGTCATTTGTGAATCAATTGTCAAAGGAGCATCCATCTGATCCTTTAACCCCATGTTGGCAGATGGATCAGGCGGATTTGACTCATCTACACTAGCAACTTCAACGCCAGAGCTAGTGTCAGCATCTGTATTTCCTCTCTTCAGTTTTTCATAAATTTCAATAATCTCCTTCACTGCACGAGCAAATTCACCAGCCTTTCCTTGACGTTTGGAAAAAGATTGTTTCTTCTCTTCAGTAAATGCTTCAACATCAGCTGGATTGCAGAAACCTCTGCAAAACCAAATGCCATTTCAAACTAAGACAACTTGCAAGCTGAAAAAAATTAAGGCCTGTATATAGGGAAATAACTAAAGAGAGAGATTTCACATTGCAACACAGATATGAAAAGTCTTACAGTTAGCTTAAAAATTAAATTTGTTCAAACCATGCACATTGATTCAATGAAATCATCAATGAAGAAATAAATACTCAAATTTCAACACTTTCTAGTTGGTGTTAATCACTTCCTCCACGAATTGAGTACAAATGTAGGATTTAATCATTATTAAGTCACATCATACCTTATTTGAATTTGTCACCAATATTGTCAGTATATCTTCTCTAATATAACAAGATATTATCTGCATTTTCTCCCTAACTATTATCTGTAATTTTGTATATTCTTTCCTTATTTGAATCTGTCATCTATCATCAAGTAGGTAGAAATATGTCACCTTAATTGTAGTTATCAATTCTCTTTAGCTATAGGAGAATGCCTCTAATCAGGTATAGGAAAATTATTCTAGAACCTCACTCATCCTATCAAAGCTTTCACAGGAGCTCTGGTGCAACTGTCCTTCCTTTTTATAAAAACCCAAGGCCTACATCTTTGCCACATCTCATTCTCTTAGAACCACCAAAACAAATAGTACAAATTCAGAATTGAAAATTTGGGGATTGCTGTACAACTGGATGGCAAAAAATATTTAACAATAGACAACATTGGTAGAGTTGAGAAGTTCAAAACATGGGACATAGAAGACACTATCATCACAACCCGGTTGCTGAACTCAATGCAAATTGAGGTATCTCAGAATTTTATGTTACTGGAGACATCAAAACAGGATATGTGAAAGTGAAACAGTCCAAAAAACTAGGGGTGTATAAAAAAAGCGAACTGAACTGAATTGATGCAAAACCAAACTGAATTATAAAAACCGAACAACTTCGTAAAAATGGCTTGGTTAACTGAACCGATTTTATTAAGTGGTTCGGCATGGTTTGGTTCTTTGGGGGAAAAAAAACCATGAGTATGAAGTGGATAACCAAACCATTTTGAAGAAAAAACCAAACCTCTTTTTTATAAAAAGTGGTTCACTTAACCAGACAATTTTTATAAAATGGTCTGGTTCGATTCAGTTCTGTTCAGTTAAAAAAAAAAAAAGTGCACAGACAATTTATGGTGTACTTATTGCAACAAACCAACGCACACCAGGGAAATTAAAATGGATAAAACAGAGGAAGAGAAAAAGGAAGTCAAATCTTCTACTTCACATAATGTTGATGTTCAGTCCCTCAACAAAGTACAGATAAAGATGTGGAAAAACTTTCTTGAAACTTTAACAGCCAGCTCAAGCTCCGTTCCTCATTCAGATAAGTGTCTAATTCATAGTTAATAGGTTCTCTAATAAACCTTCCCACATATCAAATTCACTGTCACACATACCTTGTGTGCCAGGTGCACTTTAAAGAAAGTTTTGTAATAATAATGTAAAAGTGCCAAATCATGTAACTATATGAATCATGTATCCGTACTGCATTCCCGTTGACTATTTTAAGGCTAATAATCCAGCCTCAGAGACATAGGTTATAGATTCAGTTGTAAATGGCTATATGACCCACTCCTCACAAATTTTTTTAAAGCCTAAAAGGCTTGTTATAATGATTACTCCATCTTTGCTGCTGATGGAAAGACTATTGGGGTTAAGGGGAAAGGTAATAATGATCTCTTGCCAACACTACATAAAAGATGTCATTTGTGATTCAAAAACCTCCAACAATCTTCTCTTAATTTACCAACTCACTAAAAGCATTGACTGCTTTGTTATTTTTAATTCATGTGCATTTCAGGAAAGGCCACCAGGTCAGGGACAATGAATTGATATACTAAGGAACAGAATGGACTACGTTATCTTGAGAGGAAGAGTCTTTTCCCTCCCAAAAATTCTGTCTAGATTTTGTCACATCTGAGTTCTGCCCAGAATGTCTAAAAATTTAGTGTCAATAAAGTGTGGTCAAAGCATAGAAGGCTTAGTCAACACCTTCCTTTTTGAAGAAAATCTATGTTTCTTGCTTTGTTTGAGGATGTTCACTTTAACACTTAGCTTGTGAATCTTGTGAACTAGCAAAGCATCATAGAGTACATTTTCCTGTCGTCTAAAGATTTCAAGAACGCTGTTCTCTTTGGTGCATACTTATGAAGGGTAATCTTCTGAAATTTCAATTGTTTAAAGAGCAGGATGGTTCATATCCTTTATTGATGATTGTACCAAATTAACTTGGGGTGAAGCTGTCCTCATTAAATGTCTATTATGTATTATTACTGAACCTATATTATTCAAATCTTATTTAATATCTAAAAATCAAAAAAATATAAAAGAGAACTAGCCATCCCAAATAACATTTAATATTCCTCCATTTTAAAATACACAACACAATAGGTTACAAGGATGTCAACACAAGATAAAGCTCAGCCTAATTTATGAACTACATAAGACTCAATAGAGTACTTTTTAAGTAGAATCTAACATGTAGAACAGAAGAAGGAAAATTATTACAGACAAAAAGGAGACAGAGAACCAAGCAGAAACCGAAACATTTAGGATGGGGATACAAGCATTCACAATCACACAGCTTAACTTGGGATCCAGTATATAAACCATTTCTATCCAATAAAATCACTAGAAGCAGTACTCTCTAACTATAAGTTGTATCAACTCACATCATATGTTACTGTCACATTTTTAAGTAGATTTTTTGCAGGATATTAACAGCTTTCATTTGGCTAAATTTTGATATTTCAGACATTGAAGAGTCACTTTAGAGAAATTGATTTAGGGAAAATCAGTATGATGTTCTAAAATATTTACAAAATGCTGCGAGTGAAGTTATATTTAATTGGGTAGCATTAAGGCAAAGAGTTCTAGGTGACAAATTATAAGAAAAGGATATGACCATGGTAGCCAGACTTGCATGATTCTAAGCTTCCATAGGCCTGGGCAAGTTCTTCCATGAAAGTAAAATTGGCAACATTGCTGCACTAAAGCTTAGAAATGGTGGAATCATCGCTTTTTCAAGTTTGCTGGCCAGGTTTTTTGTGCGTTGGTTTTCTTCTTTTTTCACATTTTGGGAAGGTTTCAGTTGTTTTTATTTATTTGGGCTTCTAAAACCTAAGCCTGACAATTCCTAGACCTAAACAGCTAAATCCAACACCATCCAGCCTCCCCCAAAACCACCCCCCTGACCTTCTTCAACCTTTCGCACAAGCCTCCTTCAACCTTTCACGAACTCATGTGTTATCACTGGAGCTCTCCTCTCCTCCATCCTCCACCACATCAAAGATCCTCTCTGCACAAACTGCTGCACGAAGCTTTTTTCCACCACATCAGAGCCTCATAGCGTCAGAGGTAATATACAATTCTTCCACCGAGTCCAACTCTCTATCTTACTCTGTTTTATTTCCTCTGCCTATGTGAATCTGTTTTGCTCCCACCGTACCCATTACAGTTTCTCTTTCTCTGTTTCTCTTTCCCACAGTCCAATTGTTGGTTCTTTCTTTGTTTCTCAGTTTCTGTTCCGTTCATAACCCAACCCCACAGACTCATCTTGATAATATGGTTAATGAAGGACAGGGAGATGGAGAAGATGAAAAAAATAAGGATATCTCAAGTGATTGTGATTTTAATTTGGATGAACTATAGTTAGAGCTATAAAATAGGGGTTTTAAGTTGTTTTGCTACTGCAGTGTAGTAGTGTCAGATGTTTTGTAGGTCATTTAAGTTCTGTAAGGAATTTAGTAATTGACTTTATTATGTTTATGAATCTATAATTATGAATTTAATCTTAATTAAGTATTTCATGAGTTATTATGATTTTTTTCCCTTATTCATACTATCTTAGATGCATGTCTATGAATTATAAATCTTGTAGGATCTATGTTATGAGTTAAGATTTCACATTTTACAATTCTATGACCCTTTGCCAAGTTGGAATAAATCAATTCGGTCAACCATGGATGTTATAAATATAGGATTTTTAGAATCATAAGAACCTTTTTAAGCTTCAAGCAACTAGAATTCCACGAGGACAATATTTGCTTGCACTATAATCAACCTATATCCTACAAAATGGTTTTGCATGCAGTATTGACAGGCAACATTTTGTTGTTTCTCTAGTAGAAAATCACTTTGGATGTGCATTTTATAAAAAGACCTAAAACAAGTGTGTTGGCAGCACAATTTGCTTTGCTGCAATATGCCACAAACCACAATCAAATTCCCGAAAACTATGAGTAACTAGGATAAGAACCATTAGCATTCTTCTTCTTTTTTTATCCCTGCTCTGCACATAGGAACTAAAAATCTAAAATAGACACTACTGTAATAGTCACATATGTATGGTCTGATTCTCAATTTCTCACAAGAACCACACTTAAAGGTAAAACCACATATGGACAAAGCTCATAACTACTATTATCAACTCAAAGTTCAGAGAAAATTTATCACACAACAAAATCTTTTAAATATGGTTACAAACATAATATATGCATGCCATAAAGGACAAGCTAATTGACACCAACAAGCATGTCATCAATAAGCACTAATCATTATGATCACAAGTGGACTACGATGATTGAAACCATCCCGTTTTAGCTAGCTTGAAAAGTATCAAAATGGCAATGAAATTTCAAGTAATCCAACTGTGGAGGCATAAGGAAACCCACCTGATGTATGAACATTTTAATTTAATATCTAAACATGCCTCATTAAAGTGTAATAGAAAGAATGAAAGTATAGAAGGAAAATTACTTACTAACACCGCAATCTCTAATAACTTTCCAGCAAACACCAAATCAATGACACGTGAACAAGAATAGCACAATTAAGCCTTACAATATCCTATACCCCTAGGTTAAACAATGTGGTATTAATGATATCACATATCTACGATACCATTTCAAACAACTTGGTTGTGAAATTTTATCATGTGCATTCAATTCCTGATCAAACAAAAATACCATATGCATACCAATAGCAACTCAATCAAATGACACATGAATTTGAATACATACATTTGTTGGGTTCCAAAGAAGTAAACAAATACTTTCTTCTGATCAGCAGAGAAACCCCACTTCTGCGGCTCACTCACCTGCCCGAGAAAGAGAAAACCAAACTTAATCAGCAAACAAAACCTTCACATACAAATGAAAAGAGGCATAAAAAATTTCCAACACTCCAACTATCCATAACACACATATAAACCAAACAGGACCATAGAAAACACAATGCAGAGCTCTGAGTTGTTTAACATATGGTCCCTAGTCTCTTACCTTCTCCATATCTGTTCCTAATCAAATTCCAAGAGCATCTAGGCCCCGATTGAATCATCCATTAAATATCACCACAAGATAATCATTCGATTAAGAAAATTTCCATGTAAAAGCAAAGCACGACCGTACAACTACAAGCTTAAAATAAACCAAACGATAATCAAGGTCAGGCTCAAAATCTTTCAATAAATTTGAATACACACATCAAACAAACAATCACACGAATTAATTGACTAATACCAGGCACACACGCAGCACTACACCATGCTTCAACAGAGGAAACTAGTTTAACATGCAATCCAAAGCAGTATTACATCACTCTAGACAGCAAAACACAATTAATCCAAAAATTCAAGCATTCACTAGAAATTAGCGCCACAACACTGACCTTCGCAGGCCAAGCAGGGAATCCCTTGACCTTGGCTAGCACGAGATCGCCGAGCTTAAACTGGCGGCATGCGGCCGCCACCGCCGCCGGCGGGTTTTTTCCGCCCTTTCTCCGACTAGGCGGCATGGCACGAAACAATCGTGAAAGAATCGGGAGCAATTGGCTCTGAATCGAAGCGCGAAAGTCTATGAGTAGTCAGGATTGGGAATTTGCAGTGGGAATTAGCAGGCATTGAAAATGGAGGAAGCGAAAGAGAAACCCTAATTAGTGAGAGAGGGAGAGAGAGTTTGAGTGAGAGTGAAAGACATGAGAGGACTCAGGAGGAAGAAGCTGGTGCCTGGTGCCTGGTGCCTGGTGCCTGGTGCCTGGTGGTGCTGCTGCTGGCTTTGGCTTAGTTAGGGTGACTATATGCATTCACACTTCCGTGAAGTGCGCTAACGTGCACTCTGTGCGCTCTCTCTAAATAAACTTATAAGCCTCTCTCTCATTTTAACACTTTCGTTGCCTCTCACACGTGACCGCCTCCCTCGCTTAAACCTAAGTTTAATAATTTCACTATTATATAAATTACCGGAGAAAAACACTCCCCATTAATTTAATAACGTTAGATTTTTGCTTTTGGATTTCATATATTAAATACTTATTATATATAACTAAATTTTATCATAAATAATATATACAGGTAAATATTATATTTAAATATATATATAATGTATATTTTTAATTTATATAAATAAATATTTTAAATATATGAATTACCAGAATGGGCCGTTCCAGATTCGAAATGGGCCGTTCTGGCCACTCCTGATGCCTATAAATAGAACGCTCTGGCACTCCTAAAAGCACATTTTTCACTTCTGACCTCTTTTTTCTTCTACACTCTCTGAAGACCAAGGGAGAACCCAGAGGAAGGGACTAGCAAGATCTAGCTTTAGTTTCAGCTCTTGTTTATCCAGGTAAGGGAGGAGTGAGAAACCTCGCTTTGGGTGTGGAAATATCTGTTGGGTAGTGGGATTGGCCCCCAATCCTGTGTTTGTTGTATTTTTTTTTGTATGTTCATGTATGAGGGATTTTCCCCAATTGTATCTGTTTTGCCTATTATTTTCTTATATATAATTAATTGTATGATCCGAGATCTCTATGGGTTCCTATGGGAAACCCTAAGGGAATGCATTGGTGATTGTAAGAGGAGATGTTTTGAACAGGTAATTGTATGAGTTAACTATATTGTTTTAAATGTTTATTGTATGAATTAGAGTGTTCTGTGGGTTCTTGTGGGAACCCTATGAGAAACATGTTTTTCTTTCTGGTTGTTCTGATGTATTCCTTGTTGAATGAGATGTATAAATATGTGTTTATTTTTAAAAATAGACAAGTTTTGATATGATTTTGAGTGCTCTGTAGAGACTATGTGAATATCATGAGATGATGTGAAAAGTGATAATGAGACATGATGATGTGATATGATAATGAGACATGAAAATGTTATATGAGAATGCATAGAGTCTTGATTGACATGCATCATTTGCATAAATGTTTTTAAGGGTACGATATGGAATACACTGCCAGGGAAGACCCCCTAGTGTAAAAGCTTTGGGGATTAGTCCTTGGGGATAGCTCGGTTTGAAGTCCCAGTCTCGCCCATTGTGTGCATCAGATGTATCTTGCGCGGCTTAGCTATCTCGACGAGACCCTGGTAGTATGTCCTTCTAGTGAGAGTGTGTAGAGGGTGTGACCCGACATGTACTCCTAGACTACTCTTCGTGTATTACTATCGGCAATATGCCATGTGATATTTTATTGGCGTCACATGCATGATAATATGTAGTCCGTGTCCATACTTATGCATTTTTAATGTTATATGATAAAGTGATGGTTTATGTCTTGGATGAGTGAGATGTGATGTTATTATTAATTTATCTACGTTATACCTGTTTTGTTTGTGTTTGGCTATCCGACGTATATTTCTACACTGTGAGCTAGAGTAAGATGTTTCTCACTCCCTTTTCTCATGTTGTTTTTCTTTGAATATTATACAGGTGATTATCAGCATGAGGCTGAGGATGTTGGTGATGAAGCTTAGGCTTCTATGTTGGGCTTTGCTCTGATAGGACATGTGACATCGGGGCATAGATAGGATTAGTTTAAGATGTTCTTATTAAATTATTTTGAAAATCTCAGTTTTATTTCTATGTAATTTTACCGGCATGTTATTTGGATTAAGTTTATGAATGTGAGCTCTTTACCCTTACGTGGTTGGAAATTTGTTTTCTTTTATGATGAAAAATTTTATTTTTTTATAATTACTGTATATGTATATTGGAGTAGAGGGTGTCGCATTTATAGGATAATTAATGTTGTATATAGATACAGTTGAAATGATTATTGAATTTAGTAAATAAGCAGATGTTTTAGATTACATGTGAATGCACACCTCACTTCTGTTTTCACGCATATTCAAAATATATATGTTTATAAAACTAAAATTTTACGCTTTAAACAACATAATTAGTTGTTTAAGTTCTCTAAAATTACAAACAAAATGATAATATTCAAGCATATAAAATACATTTGGTTATAATATCACATTTTTTTATTAGAAATATTTATAATTATAAAATAATACAATCACTTTATAACTTGTTTTGTAAATAAAATAATTTTTGTTATTAATTTTGTAAAATCAAAAAACGATCTTAGATCTCTCAATAGTCTATAAATTTTATTGATAACAAACAAAATATTTTTTTCTTTAAGAAAAGACTATTTCAAACAAAGCAAACATCACATTTCGTCTGTAAGACAAAAGACATCAGACGAAACATACAATTTAACTCACTACAAAATTTATTTCTCATTAGCAAGTCAGATTATTATTAAAGAGCATTGAATACTTTATTATTTTAAAAATATTAAATTTTAGTTTATAAATAATATGATAAAAATATTTTAAAAACTTTTTGAACAACATATAATTCTTATATATTGTTATAAACATCGTGAAAATCGAACTGCGTAATTGAATTATAAGATACTTAAGCTTAGTAAAAAAGAAAAAAAGAGAAATTACTTTTTTAAATCTTTTTCATAAAATTTAATTTATTGAGATTTAGAAATTTAATTAATTTAATTAATATTATTAAATTTATTCTAAAATTATAATTTTCTTTAAATGATCAAATCTATATAATTAATAATGGGAATGAGTAAAATTCAACAATTCTCATTGTTTTTAACCAAAGAAAATAAGATAAGTTTGAATTTTAAAATTACTTTCAATCTATTTTTAAGGATTGGTTCACATTATCTCCTATGTCGTCTAATTCAATTTAATGTTTTATTTGTTTAAAAAATATAATCAATAATATTTTGTAAATAATATTTTGTATGACATTATATTATATTTATAATAACTAGGAAAATATACACTTTGTGTCTTGCTGTTAAAAGATTGAAAACATATTTAAAAATATAAAATAAATAGTGTAAGGTTAACTATACGATAATTGGTAGTTGTTTATACTAGTTAAGGATTAAAAGTATCCATAAAATTGTAAACACCAAAACAGGATATAATTTTTATAATTGATATTTTTTGGATAACTATATTATTAATATGAAATATTGAATAATTTTGTTGATTACCAATTTTCATAGGAGGATATAGGTTAATCATCTTTAAAAGGGTCTCTCTTTTCAACCACTACAACTACTTAACTATATATATAATAGTAGACAATCCACAGTTGTTTATATTAGTTAATGGGTAAAAAGTGTCTATAAAATTGTAGATACCAAACAAAATATTACTTTAATAATTATTATTTTTTAAGTAAGTATATTATTATTATGATGTATTTAATAATGTTATTGTTAAAATCTTTTTTTTTTAAAGCATGTTATTTAAGAGAATCAAATCTAGTATCATAAAATGAATAACTTATTAGTACCTTTATAATTATTATAAATTATAATATAATTTATTTTTAAACATATATAAAATTCAATTAATTTTTAGACCTTTTTAATTAATATTTTTTGTTATCATATAATTTAATTATACATAGTATTAATATTAACATATTATATTAAAATGTCACCTTATCTCATAGTTTTAAAAACCGGACCGGTCATCGAACCGGTTAAGGTATTGGGTCAGTGGGTCAAAAGTTGAACCGGTGGGTCACTGGTTGAACCGCATGACTTAATTTTTATTTATTTTTATTAAAAAATATTCATATTAAATATATTTATACTTATAAATTTTAATAAATTCATATCTTATTTTAAATTTAAATTTTTATATCTTATTTAAAATTATTTTTATTTTTATTTTGTAAAAAATACATAAAAAAATTACATGTTAAACGGTATATTAATACAAATTAAAAATATAAATAATATGTACATATATAATATGTTTGCAATTAATATCACAAAATAATATATGTAATATTTACATAAATATTGAATTATTAAATATATAATTTAAAATTAATAATATACTATAAAAGTTATTTAAGTTGTATATATTGCAAATAAATATATTAGAACAAGTAGTCATTGTTATATTTAATAAGACTCCTTGCTTTTTCATTAAGAGATTCAATTTTCATTATTATTTTTGTGATTTATGGTCCCTTAAAAAAATTTAAAAAAAAAAAAAAAAAAAAAGTGGTTGAACCGGTTTGACCCACCGGTTCACCGGTTGAACCGGAAAATTGACCGGTTCAATCCGGTTTGAAACGGGTCGACTGCATAACCGATCCAACTTCAGATTCGGACCGGCTGGACCACCGGTTCCCGGTCCAACCGATCCGACCGGCCAGGTCGGTCCGGGTTTTAAAACACTGCCTTATCTCATCTCATATTTTTAGACTCTTAATCAAGCCGACTTTAAGTTCAAATAAATATAATTTAATCAAATTTTTAAGTAAAATAGAAATAAGAGTAAATCTAGTCCAACCTATCTCATATTAATTCATAACTTCAATTTATGAAATTTTTAATTTAATAATTATTATTTATTAAATAAAAAAATAATTAAAATAAATATTTTAAAAAATAATTAATTCAAGAGACATTTTAGATGGAATCTTCTGGTAATATAATACTATTAATATGAATTTTGTCTTATCATTTATGTCAATAGTTCATAAAAATTCCACTATTATTCCGAGAAAAAAATTCATGAAAAGCAAGATGATAAAATTATTATGATATAATAGTTAAAAATTAAATACGCCAAAATAGAGTATGCATTAAAACTTTTTTCTATAATATTTAATCATAAAATATTATGTACAATAAATTTGTTGAGGTTTGATGAAAATTATATCAAAATAATTTATAATTAATTAACCATTTTATAAAGTATACACCGATTCATTAAATATACAACTATAACAAATTTTATGGTAATTTGTATTAAAAACACATTTTTGTAATTCTGAGGTTTAAT